GCTCGCTTGAGACATTCATCGGTGCGACTAATATTGGCACATGCCCTTTACAACCAATGATGCCCATATGGTTAATCGTTTTCGGTGTTCTAAGTGTGCTTTTTGGTGTATTTGGACTTTTATTTGCTCTAAAGGTGAGTCCGAAGATTTTTAGATAACCTGCGAGCTCTAATCCCCATCTTTATCAGAAGCTTTTACTCGGAAGAATCTTTCAGCTCAATTATACTGGGCGAAAAGCGATGTACCGCGATCTGGCTATGGGGATTATGACCGCCATATGGCTGATCTGGTACGTAGCGTATATTGGTGCCCTTGAAAAACATTAGTTTGGTATCTACTACCAAAATATAGGGTTCGAAATAATGATTTTTGAAAGAGCCACCAGAGCCTGGCGGTCCAAAGAAATCGCACAGAAGTCGGGTCTCTTAAAATTTCCCTCAACACCTCCGCCTCCTAAGGCAACTGTTCAGCATACTAGAGGCATTCAAACAATGGCTGACAACAATTCATTAGTAAAATTATTATTATTATTATTATTTATTTTTATTATTATTTAACATCTAGGCAACAGGTTTTAAAAAGTCTTATAACATTAATGCAATTCATTAGTTACGCTGTAGGTACACAGTCGAATACTAAAACCTTCAAGACGAATGTCGAGTGCATGGCGCATCTTGGCGCAATCGGCCAATATGACTGTTGTTCGTTCTTACCTCTGCAGAATGCATTCTCACTATAAACGCAATTCATGTCAGATTGTCCTGGAGATTAAAGGATAAAGATAAATATGGGTGCGCCATGACTTCTCCTTCACTCATTGGTTCACAATGTCTTTGTAGGCATTTACACAGACATATGTAAACAGTACAGTAATTTTCTACAAAAATGGACTCTATTTATAGTTAATCTATTCCTTAGGACCAAATATTTCGTTCATTCGGATGAAATTCCCGTAGGACTTTAGGTCATTTTTTCTCATTAGTTTGCCGTAATATCATATTCAATAGCGGGGGATCTCTCCATCTGTGAAGAATAAGAGGTGCCTCCCCCCTCTGGGAATAAGGGGGAGAGGGGAGGGCACTGGAACACAAACTGTGAACATAATCTGCGCCCTGTTTTACTGAGGGTTCTTACGCCGCCCGGCTCAACTTGCGAAAAATTCGCGCGGCCGAACAACAGCCGGGGGACTGTCATGAATCTATATGACCGGGGCATAGTTAATGAAAACAAATTGTTGATTCAATGAACTATCTGAATTTCAGGTTTGTTTTGGGCTCTTACTATGTTTACGATATCTACAATACCGTCCTTTACGAGCAGGGTCATCCGTATTATTGTTATCCACTCGTCTATAAATTCTCCGTCTTCATTATAACGGTCATATGGGTCATCTTAGGGATTGTCTCCTGTTGTGTCTGTTACTGTGGGGCATATCTATGTTGTCATAATAGTTCCGTTGTAGTAGTTACATGAAGTATGAAAAAAGTTGACTTAAAAAATCGTTCACGAAATTACTCTCTTTGGTAGATTTGTGTAGTTTTCGAAATAAATGGTTTTTGTTTGGTTTTATTTGTTTGCATAAATGGTTCCTTCCTTTTTGTCATACTTTCGAGCCGAAAACTACTGGTTTGCATAAATAATTCGAGTAATTGAATTCATCGTGAAGTTTCGTCAGCATTGCGAAACCCTTCGTTTCCTCAAATGACGAGGACCTACCGCCCCTCAGACGAAAACATTGCTCCGCAGTTGGTGGCAGAATGACAATCAGATGCCGAAGAAGTTGGAACAGTGAAATAAGGCTGAAATGGTTGGAAGAATGGCAAGGTTAGAGCTATTCCTTCTTTATTACCAGTAGTACCCTACGAGGACAGCAAAAAACGATTTTTCAAAAGTTTGGTTATGCTCATTCCCGTCATGGGTGAAAGCATAGTATCCCTCGGAGCTAATTAGTCCCTTTTTGGAATGCGTATGAAACGCCCATTCAGAATCGTAGTGTCGTCTGATGTATATTTGGCCCATGCAGTGCCAGCCGATGTACAACTTGGGTTTTCATCCTTCCAGACGAGTCGGGTAGCAGATAAACACCCGAAGGCATGGGAGGTATGGTGAACTTAGTATAGGAATATGATCCACAGATAACGTCTGTGAAAACACTACCTTAACCAATCGAAATAAAGCAAGATTTATTTGTACATCATTGTTTTCCCAACACTCTAGCCAAAAAGAGTTTTGGCCACGCCTGTTCTAGAACTTGTGTTCTTCTTGAGTGGCGATACATCTTCCCGAATTCTGATGCAACTCCGAAGCGACTACCGTATCCCTCCACTGAGAATTCATACTTTTCCTTCATGGCGCGCGATTAGGTGCGGCAAGCGCGACGCGATTTTCGGGACTAAGATACCACACCCAATTTTGTCAGACCTTAGGCGCATTATCACGAATGTTTTATGCCAAATACCTCAGGAGCGCTGTCTGTTTCATTTCATTTCATGAAAGAAAAAGAAGTATAAGATTTCTCAACAGCTGTCTTCAACTGCTCTCCTCGAAGGATTGCGAAGGAGACGGTTCTCGTCCAGTCGTAATTAGCCAACTGTAATGATCACGTCGAGGGCAAAAAAACACTGGTTAAACTATAAGCAATTCCGAAGTAGGGCTCTAAAATGTGGAAAAACCCCAAAATCTTAATTTATATCGGTCCTGCACTCATTTTTTAAGCATTTACAGTTAGAAATAAGCTTTTTCAAGTCGTAGACAATCTAAACAGTAAACATTACGCCGGTGTAGATGGTTATTACTGAAGGAATACATTCAAAAGTAACTTTTGCGAAGCAAGGCTGCTTGAGTTATACTTCCAAAATCGCTTTCTACTCGAACAATTCTTCCCCTCTGACGGACAATGACAACCTTCCGGCATCTTTAAGGATCGGCCAACGGTCTGTCCATTTCATTGTACAGCCGCTCCGAACGGACACATTTTTGTCGGATTATACGGCGCCAAGCGGCATCTTTTCCGGGCTGCTAACAAATGGGTCGCCGTTTTGGAGTAGAAAAAAACCCATGCAATGGCTATGACCTAATAACAGAAGTTCAACGAGGTACGGAAACGAAACAGGAAAAGGCAAGGTAGTAACAAAAAGCGCTTCTTCCAGGTTAAGTGGTACAGAACATCGGCGGAATGACCCTTTGGAAGAATATTCAATCTGTCTGGGGAAATGGAATACCCACTCGAATTTTTGAGGGGAGTTACTAGATACAGTATGGATTCCCAACTCATCAAAATTTCTTTGCAACATTATACAGGTGTAAAACTACCTCCGCCTGACGGCTTACGCCGTGGGGTTGCACGCGTTTACCGCAAATACAGAATAGATCACAAAGCAGCCGTTTGGAATAAGCGTTTAAATTTTATGCGCAGCACTGCTCAGTCTGTTTTTGATTTTTTTTTGTGTATCCTGTTTTCATTATCTTTTTAGTTACATTTTTGTGGACAGTGCCGTTTTTCTATCAAATATCCCTCTCCGTTGTTGATAAGTCAGGTTATGTAAAGGCTATTAACCTTGACTGTAGATTGATGACTGGTGATCGTTAGTTACGGAAAGCCTTTTCCTACTTTTTCTTTTTTATTTGTTCCCTTTCCTACCTAGAGAAGAGAAGCTTCGAATGCGATTGCATCGGAAAAATCATAAGTTACGTTTAAGCGTTGGGAGGGGGGGGGGGGGGGGNATAGTGGCACATGGGACATTGCCACCCAATTTTGGGAGCCACAATACTTTCTTGTTTCTTACCAATTGCTGAATTCAGTAAGTCAGTAAAAGGAGTTCCTCCTGGTACAGGGCCACCCATCAGTGGGTGCCAGTCGTTCGCGAAAGTTGGGGAGCGTGGTCCCATGGGCGCGTCACGTCGAAATCCGCATTGTCGTCAAAGGGTTAATTCTATCGCACCCTCGATTCTGTCCAACGTGGAACTGTCTGAAAAATAGAAGATAAATTTGATTTGCTTCAATTCTCAGTAATATCATCGCTAATGTTGTGCTCCCTTGCTTCGAAGTCGACCATTTTTGTATTTTTTATTTTCCATTTAAAGATCTCTACATATTATGTTATCAATGTCCCTTGACCGGAAGAAAAAAATTGGAAAAACACCTAGTACTCCAAATTAGAGCCACTCCTTTGCATGTCTAACATACTTCTTGCTCTTATCAGTGGCGTTTTTTGTTAAACGGGCGCAGCCTACAGTAACTACTGCCCTATTACTTTTATCGACAGCTATTTTTAGCATCTTACACTTACACATATTGACTGTATTTATTATATTTTGCACTTGTTATAACCTCGTATATTAACAATAACTTAAAAACGAGAAAAAAGACAGTAAGTCGTTAATTCAATACACTATAACCTCGAAGTACTACAGTAGCACCGTCCTAGGACATACAGTACTTCATCGTTAGACCCGTGACCGACAGCACTAGCTCGAAAAACCTATCATATCTAAAAGCAATACGTAAAGAGGTGAAAATATGAAAGTGACGAGGAGGTCACGTGGTCGTTGAAATGGTATGAGATCGTGGGCGATTTGGAGAGGCGCAAGGAAAGATAGAAGGGCGGGGCGAGCGCGAGCGACGCAACGCGAGCGACAGCGAATAATGCAGTCTGTCATAGCCGTTGGATAAAGTATGGAACGATGTTTCATCCGTTCCATCACTGCATGCATGTTATCATTGGAAGCTATGCAAGCTATGAAAACAAAGGGCAGCTGCCATGGAATCGATTGATTGATGACTCGGTCTCGATTTGATTGGATGTGTTGCACGTCGTCGTCCTATACGCAACATTCAATCGATAGATAGTGTCTTCTGATGACCGGATCGATAAGTGGCGATGCGAGACGTCCTCAGAGATCCTGCCAACTCGCTGCACCAGCGGAAACTGCTAGCAACGACCGGACCGGGCGGCTAGGAAGCTTTGAATTTGTCGACTATAAGCGAAGATGCGTAGACAAGTCCAGATCGATACATTCGCACTTTTTAATCTGAAAAAGGCACTCTATCGATTAACTTAATCGATTATTGTTCCCGAATTCACTTGCGTACCTTGACGATAGACTTGGTTATTTGTGGTGGATCCTGACCGGGACAGTCCAGTGTGACATTGACAGCGTCGTAGTCTCGGGGTACACACGCCGCACATGACTTGAAAACAGCCTTCAATTTTTTGCTGTTCAGTCGTGGTATGAAGTACGACGCACAAGTACCGTGGCAGTACCTGGAACAGGTTGAATT